TTGCGTAACTAGCATTACTTTTTCAGTAAGAGGTATGTCACCATAGGTCGTTTAAGGTGATTTTAGGACTGATAATTAATGGCGTGGAGTGGTGGCATTGCCATGATACTCATGACTCGGTATTGAATCCTGCTGGGGGTGCTGATTGGGCCTAGACAGGGTTGGATCTGCTGTTCACTTTGGAGGAGATCGAGGTAAGGATAAGTGAAATTCAATGGTTTCGTAGCGTTCACTCAGCCTAATGTTCTAAAGCTCATCTATCAGTCCTTAAAACATCTTCAGCGACCTAGGGTGACCAAGCTCTTACTAATTATTTTGTTCTATATGGCAAATAGATGAAAGGAAATTATTTCTGAATAAAATTGCTTCAGCCGTCTAACTATTTTTCTCCATTTTTCTTTATTTTTTCAAGTTATTCCCCTGAAAATGCCACAATTTCTCGGCACCTCCTATATCCGCTATTCCGGTCTTGAGGCAACTTCCGGCCTGTACACCTCAATCCGCCTAACCTTTCGGCCCAACTCAGTCGGGTCAGAAATCAAACAGACTGACACATTGCAGCCCCAAAGGCAGGTTCAAGGCCTCCTGCTCTACCAAGGCTTCTCCTCGAAGCACCAGTCGGCTTTCCTTGTTATCTGTCTCCATCAAGGAAACGTCGTTGTTTCCTATGATCTGGGAAGTGGACCGGCGACCTTAAGGTACAATTCCTTGCCTACAATTATACTATATTTATATATCTACGTCTGGAGAATAAGAAATATAGAATAAGAGTTGTAGTCACCCTAAGTCCAACTGCTCCGAACGATTTCAGCTTTAGCAAGGATACTCTAGTCTTCGCATCTCCTGTATCTATTTCGATAGCAGTTGATGTCGTCACTTTTAAGTCTCGATGCAATTAGTAGATTAGGTCCAAAGAATTTCGCGAACTGGGCTGCACCTATTTAATTCATAATATGTAGGTCTTCGAGGCTATCAATAAATTCTCAAAAAAAACTATTGTTACTATGTCGCGTAAAAATGGGAAAGAATGGTAATGGAATTTTCTAAAATGCCTTTACTAGGCCCCACAATATCATTGAATTCCATTTAACATTGCCTTAAAAAAATATCTCACTAGGGGTAGATATCAGTTTCCGCCTCTTGGAGTTTATCCGCTCCCAAACTGAACTCGAGCCCAAATATGAAAAATCTACATTCATAACATAAGATTGACTCCAGTTGGGGTTGCTGATGAAGCCCAGGAAAGGTAAAAACGGCAGTCTAGTCTAGTCTACTCCAGTCAAGCTGGGATATGAAGAACCTTTGTTATGCAAGACTAAATGAAATTCAATGGCATCGTGAAGTCTAGCCATTTCATGGTGGGAAATTTCGCTACCAGTTATTTCTTTCCTCATGCGACCTAGGGTGACTACAGTTCCTTATAATTATCAGTTAATGGTTCGAAAACCTTATGAATTTACAAGATGCAGCCAGGCTAGCGGAGGCCTCTGAGCCCAGTATACTCACTGTCCCGGAAAATTAAAGTAATAACTACCGATTCATTCGGAATAGATACACAAAGAGACACAAAAACAGGAGAACCTCTGCTGGAGCTAAAATCGTTTAAAGCTGAATTCGACACTTTTCTTGAAGCAAAAAGCTTCAAATATTAGCATTAAGATTGGCTCCAAAGCACATCCACATGCAAAGTACGGCATTTTTAGTCCATTTAACATGCAATTCTAAGCATAGTCTGTCAACAAAGTGTCACTTTGGGTGAATTTCATTGAGAGAGTTAGTCGGCTCCTCCAAACCGGTAGGCGTACCGATGCAAAATAACTGAATAAATAAGGTTTCTTGGGATATATGTAGGCAATTAAGAAGCCTTATAATTTGACTGTGGTTAGCACAGATCTTTTCAACTACCAGTTCTCCATCACCTTAAATGAAATATACTTAATATAAATCATAGATCTGATTTAATGATAGGCTCGAAAACCTGTTCATAACGAAATTCATGAAATAACAACTCCAGAGTGAGTGAAACAAACGATATCATTGAAGACTTATGTGGGCGGATCAGAAAATATAATTTTTAAGTTAAAGATATATTTATAATCTAAGAGACATTTTGAAAGATAATTTAGTAACCTTAAGTCACTTAGAGGTTGTTTGACCTTGTTTTCGCAACATGGTCATATTGGTAGGACGACTTAGCGGAACGCACCTTGCCCGGAGTCCACTGTATGCATAATTATTTCCAAAGTCGGACCGTGGATGTGGTACATTCCCAGACGTTTCGCAGGCATCCTAGTCGGCATTGTCAGTGGGTATCACCATTCTTAGCACCACACAACAACTCGTCAAAGAGACAAGTGAAGCCGATCCTTTGACCAAACGTGTGCTGCTGAATATTGTGGTATCTCCCATTCTGCTCTGGGTAGGAGCACACCACACTACATCAAAATTAGCACGGAAAAAATTATAACAGGGAAGGCGTGATAGGAGGATATATGAAATGTGAATATCTAGAGGTAGAAGGGGAGATACCCCAACTGTTTAGCACACGTTTGGTCAAAGGACCAGCTTTACTTGTCTCTTTGACGAGTTGTGGTGTGGTGCTAAGAATGGCAAGACACACTGACGATGTTGGCGAAACGCCTGGAAATGTACCACGTCCACGGTCCGACTTTAGAAGTGATCATGCATACAATGGACTCCGGACTAGGTGCGTTCCTCTAAGTCTTCCTACCAAAATGACTAAGTTGCGAAAACAAGGTCGAACAACTTCGATACAATGAAAGAAGACTGCGACTACACAAAAGGCCACACCATCTTGGTTTTCATACCTTCGATTAAGTCACTCAGGTTGATTTAAAGGCTGATAATGGAGTTTATCTAACAATCATATGAATAAGGCCATAGTGCAACAGAATTTCATTTCTATGAAAAAAACTTGGGTTTTAAAGAATTCCATAGTGATTTATTGAGACATGACTTATTTTGGAAAATAATTTTGCTGGAAAAAATTCGTGAATTGCCGCGGTGTAAAGACTAATGGATTGTGTGTGTTCAATGTCCTGCGGTGAAACCAATTCACGAATTTATTTCGAATAACTTATATTTCAAAATGCAAATTTATGTCACATTAGATTTGATTTATTTATGGTTTGCACGTTGCGTTTCGAGACGCACAAAAATAATAAAGTATATTTAGTTTAGCCTCCGAAGAGATTCGCTTAGATAGAGTTTACTGCAGTCTCGATATCGATAGTATATCACATTAAAAACCGCAGTGTGATTTAAATTGATTCATGAAACTCTTGGTGAAATAGTAACACTCGGCTACACAGCTACAAATGCCATCAGATCCCATAGCAAGCTAGGCCTCATCCAAATTACTCTGATACAGGAATTATCGATGAGATAAACTTATATTTGCTCATACATTCGATGACGCTACTTATATTCTGTATAAGTATGCATGAAACAATGTGCGATTTTGTAATTAGGACTTATTTGCTGTGTTGCTTTTTTGGGGTTTTTAGATAGAATTCTGAGTC